CGCGGAGAGGGGCCCGAAGCTGCAGCAGCAGCAGCAGCAGCAGCAGCGCGGCGCCACCAGCTGCTGCACCTCTGCTCTTCCTTCCTTGCTGCTCGCACTGCAGCAGAAACTTTCCGGCAGCAACTTGTTGCTGCTGGTCTTTTTGTTAACACAGAAATCGATGCATGCATTCGGCAGCAAATGGCTTCGGGGGCTCTCCCCCTCGCCCGCCTGCTGCGCGCCGTGCTGCAGGCAGACCAGCAGCAGCAGCAGCAGCAGCAGCAGCAGATGCAACTGCAGCTGCCAGAGCAGCGGCAGAAAGAACTGGGGTGGAGCAGCTATGGGAACTAGGAGCAGCAGCAACAGCAGCAGCAGCTGCTGCTGCTGCTGCTGCTGCAACGGCAGCAGCAGCAGATCAACTTCGTGCGGCCAGCCGAGGCTCTGCATGCATTTGGAGACATTGTTTGAAAGCCTCAGTTGCAAATAAATTAATTAAACGGCACTTATTTATTTTAAAAAGATTAATTTAATTTAATTTAATTTAATGAAACAAAATCCCTAAAATGAGCAAACCCGCGTAATTCCCCTAGGGTGTACGGACATCTCCCCAGCTAGGGGATAGGGTTTAGGGTTTAGGGTTTAGGGTTTAGGGTTTGATTTGGGTCTCCTCGTTTCCTTTGAATCATTTCCAACTTGAAATTAATATCTTTTGTCAAAAACCCGCAGCAGCAGCCCGCAGCCTGCTGCTGCTGCTGCTCCTGCTGCTGCCGCTACAGCAGCAGCAGAACGAGTTTGAGCAGCAAAAGAAAAGAAAAGCAGCAGTAGCTGCAACAGCAGCAGCAGCAACAGCAGCAGCAACAGCGTGTCTGTAAGCCGCAACTTCTCGTGGACAGCGTTTTCCTTGAGACCCTAAACCCTAGACGCAAGACCCTAAACCCTAGGCTTCAAACCCTAGACTCTTCAAACCCTAAACCCTAAACCCTAAACCCTAGACGTGCACAAACGAGCTCTGCGTAGCTCAAGTTGCACTAAGAAGTAGCCATAGCTAGAGACTAGACTCCAGCCTCTAAACCCTAGACCCTAAACCCTAGACCTTCAATCGAGACTCCAAACCCTAAAAAGCGGTTTAAAGCAGCATGGGTAATGGCCGCCGCCCGAGGCACTGCAGAGCAGCAACTGGCACTTTGCAGGGCCTTCTGAAGCAGCCGCAAAAACCCAAACCCTAAACCCTAAACCCTAAACCCTAAACCCTCGGAACAGGTCATTTCTACTGCCAAGGAAGTGGGAGAGGTACACAAAAGCGCTAGCGGCTCTTCTGTGCAGCAGGCGAAACCCCTGCATGCCCCAAACCCTAAACCCCAAACCCTAAACCCTAAACCCCAAACCCTAATTCCTACCCAGTGGCGTCGACAGAGAAAAACTCGAAGGCCTCATCTCCATCTCGGTCGCGAAAGAGAGACACAGCTGTGCCCTGAACGCATTAAACCCTAAACCCTAAACCCTAAACCCTAAACCCTCAAGGCTGATCAGTGCAACTGAGCAGCACTTGAGGCACAAGCTGCTGCTGCAGCAACGAAAGCAGCAGCAGCAGCTGCAGCAGAAGCAAACGCAGACGTGCGTTAAACAGCAGCAACGTACAAAGTAGCAGCAGCAGCAGCAGCACAGCAGCAGCAGCAGCAGCAACAGCAGCAGCAGCAGCAGCACCTGGACTTCTCCTCTGGGCACTTCTGTGATTAAAGGAGCTGCGCGCTGCAGCAAACGTCTCTGAGGCGCAAAAAGAAAACTTTAATATTTCATTTTTATTTTATTTTATTTATTTTATTTTATTTTATGTCATTTGGATTTAAAATTAAATCTTAATTGCCTACTTGGGTATGGGCTTTGGGCGGGGCGCCTGAAAAGCTGGCCTTTTTCTGCTGCTGCTGCTGCTGCAGCTCCTGCAGCAGCAGCTGCTGCTGCTGCAGCAGCAAATACAG